TTTGCTACATAGGTATGGATCCTGGAAGGGCTATCCCAGGCACGGACACATATTGTGTCCTGAAATATGCACTGAATCAGACTTTCAATCTTGCTACCAGTCATCTCCCCCATGACAACAAAATAAAAAAGTAGATAGAAATAGTAAGTACATGGTTTGTTTTAACTCCTGGATTTTAAATCCTTCTTAAAAATATCATTCTTTAAAAAAGACTTCAAACAACTGAGCAGCCTTATTGTACCATAACCACGTCCAGAAGCTGTGCTGGATTTGGTGCTTACAATGTCCCTTGTGTGATTATGCTTATTGACCGTGTTGAGGACCAAAATTAGCAATAAGAAACTTAAAAACATTACATATCCAGAAGAAACATACACAGCTCTGTAAACCCAGGGTTCTTTCTGTAAATATAACTGGTATTATGTCCCTCTACCCAGTATCGTATTCAGATTTCTGACATTTTGTTCTATAACCACGCTGCTTTGTTTGGATCTCTTTCTAGGAGTTGATAGCCCTTGGATTAAGTAATCTAACAGGGAGCTTCTTCCACTGCTTTGCAGTCACTTCATCTATGTCGAGAAGTCTTGTACAGGAGAGCACAGGAGGCAACACACAGGTAACAATGCAGGAAGGAACACAAATGTATTATTGAAGGACAGAACCAAAAGGTATTATGGCAGGATGGAATCCACAGGTAACATGGCAGAAGGGAACTCACAGGTATTATGGCCGGGGACAGCATGCAGGTAATCTGCCAGGAGGAGCAAACTGTCAATATGGTAGGAGGGAACCCATAAGTATCAATACATACATAGCTGGAGGAAACCCAAGAAGAACCTAGCAGGAAGGAATGGACAGATAACTGGTCTGAGGGAACACATAGGTGCAGCATGGAGCAGACACATATGAAAAAAGAAAACCACATGTCACATTATAGGAGAAAAACACAAATATATTTTTTATGAAATTAAATTATTAGCATCCTATTTCTTTTGACATAGAAATAATTCCATGTGAAATATTAACATGTTTAGTCTTTTATAGCAATACATGTACAGTGTTTTTTCTAGAATTGTGCTTGAAAATCCCTGGCATTTTTTATTGTCTCTCATCCCTCTCTGATCTTTATTTGCAGATCGCTGGATCCGTATCCTCTCTGATCACCCTAGTCATCATCTTGAAAGCAGGAGAACTGTTTACCGCACTTCCAAAGGTAAGAGTTATGTTCAAAGATAAGAGTGTATTAGTATAAGGGAGGTTTATTATCTTTTTAATACCCCACCTGCCACATCTACGCTCGGGTCATGTCTACTAGAGACTGAACAGGCATGCTTGCTCACTGTAATTAATAAGTGACAGGTTCTATTAAAATACAGTGGGGACCTGGTAAATGTCGCCCTATGTCCCCACCTGTGGGCATGAGTTGAGGCTTTAAATTAAATAATTGGGAAGGACAGATCAATGTCCACCTTCCTGCTTCTATCCATCTCCCAACGAGTGGTTGGGGGCTATTAAAAAACAAACAAACAAACATGCAGTAATAATCCTAATGCTCCCCCTCCTTATTAGTGGTAAGACCACTAATTATGAAAAATGGGAGTACCTAGTGTCCAACCAGTCCCCAGCCATTGGCAGCAGGTTGGGGATATTAAATTAATAATAATGCTCCCGCTGGTGTGCTAAAGGTGGAGGTTAATAAACTAATATAAAAGGGGGAGTGGACATAACATTGTCCTCCCCCCTACCCCAAAACTGTGGCAGGTTTTGGGAGGCAGGGCCTAACAGCCAACCAATTAGGCCGCACATGGCTGGAGCTAGCTCAAAATACTGCTCATATACCGGCAAAGTTACTCTAAATCTGGCCTGACGCGACTCTTACTACTGGATAAATACTTTGCTTTGTACCTGGCTGGGGTTCTGGAGGCTCACACGGGTGCTGACCGCACCGGCCTGTTTTGGGGCCTGCAGGCGGGTTGAGGGTGGAGAAGGCGGCCAAACCTCTCCTACGGTCTGGTTCCGGTCTCATTTGGGCCCTATTCCCCCCCCTTTCTGGACCAGTGGGGGTTATCCCGGTTCCCCCTGGTGTACTCCTTGACCCGATCTCACAGACTTTCCCGAACACAAGCACGCTGTATGCCTGAGCAGCGGAGACTGACACATCGGTGCGGAAAACCAACTGGCAGAACCCACCATCGCGCCCGCACTTGGCGCCCCAGAGCGAGAAATATCGGCAAGCGCACCCCAAGCTCCCAGAAGGTTCCCACGCAACAGGGCCACCAGGGGGCTACAAGAGTGTCTACAAGACCTACATCTGATGGCAGGAATCGTGGAGATGCAGCACAGATTTCTATCAGTGAACAAAACTGGCGGAGAGCCCCTCTGTGACCCATCGGAGACAGAACCCTGCTGAGACATCATCCCTGCCCTTATTCCTGGCTCACTTGTCAAGCCTCCAGAGCAGGCATCGGCTGATCAATGTGGACTGAACCAGGGACTAGCTATGCTCCTTAATACCCAAATGTGGATATACTGAATAATCCAACCGTACAGGTTATAATCAGTTTGATGTTTCTATAAGTTCTTGTGCCTCTCTGCTCTACTATCATTTATCATTAGATATTATTTCTATTTGACTAGACTGTATGAGCCTTATTACAGTTACACTTGTGCAAAGCTTGTGCCGTCACAGCACTCCACTTTCACTACCCGGTGGAATTAAATTGTTGAGATAGTATGTCATTTTACTATTACCATCCCTCCTCCCTGCAGTGTGTGCTGTGGTACAAGGCTCATGACCTACAATAAATTTTCATCTAGATTGCATAGCCAAATCTAGCAATCCACATTTACCTTAATATATGAACTAAGCCAGTACCCACCACAGTTCAGAACTGCAGGGATAGTGCCCAACTTGTTTAACCTTCCTTTTGTTTATGTGTAGGACTCCCGTGCACACACTTACATAGCACAAAGGGTATAGGTTGAGCCTGGGGATCACGCTTTGCAACATAATGTGGGTAGGGATGCAGGCTACCTTTGTTCTTCTCATCTGTAATTATGCCCAGGGGAATTTACCAAAAGCTAGTTTAAGTTGCTCACTTGGGCAGCATGTTTATATTTATGGGTGGAACATGTAGGTGGACTTATGTGTGGGCCTTATGGGCATACTCACCGTCAGACCCTGGGACCCAGACCTTGCGCTGTGTAAGGGGCAACAAAAAATGGAGCTGCTTCCCATTCCCACAGTACATTGATTTTTGTGACCACAGTTACAACGGTTACAAACAGCCTCCAGAAAGCCTGTTCTACACCAGACCAGTGGAGCCAGACTGCTACCAGAGCCCATCATCATCCTCATCTGGTTGTAAGTAGGCAATCTAGTATATTATTTGTTGCACTAATCTCTAATTTACCTCACATTAAAGGGACACTATATTCCCCAGAACCACTGCAGCTTAATGTAGTGGTCCTGGTGTCTATAGCCTGTCCCTGTAGGCTTTTTCATGTAAACACACACTGTTTGCAGCACTGGTGTTGGTTCATATGGCAGATCATATGGGTGGGGCATTGTGATGTCACATGGAGGGGTGGCAAATATTTCTTCAAAAATCCTTGCACCGGCCCTGGGCTGGTATATGGTGATATGTTAAGGGTTAACTTCATGGGGCAAATTGACCTTTGGTTATGTGGTTATTAATAGCTATATCAATGTAATATTGTATCCCAATGTCACTTTGTTCTTACAATACATGTTTAAAAGTTGTATAATTTATGCGTAATATCA